GTTTTCCATGAAGGAGGAGAGCAGCAGTCTTCCTCGTTGACGAAATCTTGCTCGGTGGTTGAATTATCTTAAGATTGTTTTAAGAGGGAAGCTCAAGGGTTAGGGGTGGGGAGAGAGATGGGCTCCTGCAGCCAGCCAGGCCTCGCAAATTGGCAAAGAGAACGCCTGCGGTGGCTTGTTCGGGTCAAAAGCCCTGCTTTAGCCTGCTTCAGAAATTCAAGGCAGGCAGGCATTAGAAAAATGGACGGGGTTGTTGCAAATAGGTAATTTACCTCCAGGTAATCTACGGGGAGGCAACACTAAATCGAAACGGGCGATGCTGGCCTGGTTTAATTTTTGTAGTGGTCATTTTGTGGGGGAAAGGAGGCCGGTTGCGATCTTGGCGAGCCTCTCTTAAAACACTTAACAACTGGACAACAAGGCCTTTGGATTGTGCTTCGGGGCCAAGGTGTACCTGTGGCTTAAAACGTGGAGGAAAGATGGCCGACAGGAATTGTGAGCCTCAGGCAAGCAAATGGCACGCAGGGCCCCCTTAGGGGCGTGCGAGCCATTCACAATTAAGGGTGTAAACCAGGGGTAGTCAACCTTGGCTCTTTTATGACTCGTGGACTTCAACTCCCAGAATTCCTGAAGTCCACGAGTCATAAAAGAGCCAAGGTTGACTACCCCTGGTATAAACCCTCCGGGGGGGGGGAATGTTGATAGCACCAGAAAGCGCAGCCTCATTCATCAGAAATTGGGGGGGGCTTCCAGTCCTCCTCCTAGCTGTGGCTTTACTCACATGAAACGATGAATTGGAAGGTTGCTTTGGGGGCACGTCAGTTCTTGACCTGCGCTGCGTGTGAAATATTGGTGATTTCCCCCTTCCTCCAGTTCACCATCCACCCCGTTGGATGCCACGTTCCGACGGGAGGGGTCGTTTCCTCTGTTCTCCTACTCCAGAGGTGTTTTTTTTTTTTTCCTTTTTCCCCCTGTGGATACTCCCAGGAGGAAAATGGAGAAAGGGCTTCATTCTCTCTGCCGAAGAGAGCGTAGCGGTTCTGACGTTCTCGGAGTTAGTGGACTGCAGCTGAGGTTGGCGCAAGCGGCATCTCTCCACGAGCTGCTTTTCCAGCCTTCTTTTGGAACCCCTCTGAACTCTAAAATGTCATTGGAGGGGCAGTCCCAGTAGTAGTAGTAGTAGTGCCAAGATTCCCTCCCCCCCCCCTCCATTGTGGTTCTAAACATGGGTAGAAATCTGGGTTTTGTCTACAAGCACCACAGGGCCCTGGATTCAGGTCTGGAGCAGCAGATCACTGCTGAAGGTTACCAACTGCTCTTCCATCACTCAAGAATTGTGGGGAGGTTTTAACGCCCGCAGTAATAGTCCTATTGCAGAGGTGCCTGTAAGTATATGGCGGAGGAGAATCTTCAGTGTCGTGGTCTGTTCAGATCCCTCACGGGTGTGTGTGGATGCCTGCCTTGAAATGTTTTAATCGTGGCCTCCCCCCCCCTCGGCGAGGTCATTTTAGTCTGATCATTTGTTGGTGACACTTCAAAGTTACAGGCGTGCAGCATCTTCGCCTCTCCCCTTTCGAGCTTTACACCAGAGCGCCTTGACCTTTTCCCAGCCCGCCAATTAAGATGATACCCATTGCTGAAATCCCTTGAGACGATGGGCGCCGATTGTTCACGCAAAAACACAAACACACCTTTACCCAGAGAGCAGACTCGCGAAGAAGATCCGTTTGAGCAGCCTGCACAGTCCAGATTACTTCTTACAAAATTGAAAATTCAGCTTTTCTTAGGTTAGGGCAGGGGCAGGCAAGCTTGGCTCTTTTATGACTCGTGGACTTCAACTCCCAGAATTCCTGAGCCAGCTATGCTGGCTCAGGAATTCTGGGAGTTGACGTCCACAAGTCATAAAAGAGCCAAAGTTGCCTACCCCTGGGTTAGGGTATAGTTATTACGCTCCAGGTTGGATGGGTGCTTCAGCAAATGCTTATTTATTTATGTGGCCACCCATTAAATGATTGTTTTATGTCGCTGCCCATGTTTCTAACCAACTCTGGGCAGCTCCCAGTCGGAGTGGTAGCCAGTATTGCCGAGCTGTCTAGTCAACTCCCCCCCCCCCAAAAAAAAAAATAAATACCCCACAACCTTCTGGATGGGTGTATATTGTGTTCTATCTTCTCCCTTCTCCCACTTTAAACTCATGTATAGTTTGAACTTAAGGTGAAGGAGAAATATTTGCTGAGATGAGAATGGAAAAGAAAGACCTTGGAGCAGAATTCCAGACAGAAATTCATTCCTTTGCCCCACTGTCTCTTGTGCGGTGGCTAAACGTTGCAAACTCTCTCTCTTTTTCTCTTTCCCCTGCTGTTCAAAAGTTGGGAAGCCGGCCTAGTAGTTTCAGCCACGGCTGCAGCATTCCCGCAATCCGGGGATGGCGATGTGGCCCCCCCCATTCTTGCAGCACCCCAAGTTAGGTGATTGCAGGTTCTAACTTGCACCGCTGGCTTCTGAAAAGCAGCGTCCACAAAGGGCCACCCCGTGGCGTCACACCTCTAGTGACCGGCTGAAATTTGCTTAACCTGTGGAACTTCTGCGGCTGTGGGCACGGTCATAGGATGCTGGGCTGCACGACACGTTGCTTTAGGAGTGTACAGTGCCAGTGACTGACATTGCGCAAGAGCTACCTGTAAACCTATTTGCAAATAAATACAGGCAGTCCTCGGCTTTATGGCCACAATTAAGGCCAGCGTTTCTGTTGCTAAGTGAGACGCCGAAGGACATTTTACCCCATTTTTTTATCCCATTTTACCATTTTCCTTGCCAAAATAATTTGGTGAATCGCCGCGCCTGTTAAGTTAGTGACAGGATTGGCTCCCAAAGGTGCCTTTTTTAAAAAACAAAACAAAAACCAAGAGGCAACTGGACTTCCTTATTTTTCCTTCGAAGACGTTTCCCTTCTCCTCCCAGGAGCTGCTTCTGCTCTGTGACGGGGCCATTAAGCGAATCTGGCTTCCCCCCTGTTGCCTTTGCTCGTCAGGACCGTCGCAAAATGGGATCGCGTGACCCCTGGGACACGGCGGCCTAAATGCGAGCCCGTTGCCGAGCATCCGAATTTTGACCTGCGACGGTCGTAAGTGAAAAAACGGCCCTACGCCGCTTTTTTCGCCCGTGCCGTTGTAACTTGGAGCGGTCACGAAACAAACTCTTGTTAAGTCCACCTGGAATTGTGAAGCCCTGTAGATTAGAAAGGAGAATAAGATAAGATAACCTTTATTGTCATTTTATTTTTACTGTGGGCACTACGGCACACATCAAAAAATGAAATATAGTTGCCCGCTCTCAAAGTGATGCACACCTAAACGTACTATGTACAACATATGTACAGGCCAGGGGTAGGCAACCTTGGCTCTTTTATGACTCGTGGACTTCAACTCCCAGAATTCCTGAGCCAGGATAGCTGGGCTAGCTAGCTCTTTCCTGTTTCCTGCTTCCTGCAGAGACGCAGCAAAGGGAGGAGCCCCGCCCAATAAGCTTTTCAGCTCGTCAGGAATTCTGGGAGTTGAAGTCCACAAGTCATAAAAGAGCCGAGGTTGCCTGCCCCTGGTATAGACCCACACCCCTACATATACATAACAACAACAAAAAAAAATACTGTCCATCTTGAAACGGTCCTCCTGTTGATCAGGCTAAAATCAAAACCATTGGCGTATCAAACGGGGGAAGGGAAAGGTCAAGGGCTCTGGTGCCGCCAATATGCTGCACGCCGGTAACGCCGAGTCGCGGCGGCGCTTAGCCAGCGGAGGCGTTTATCCTGGGCTTCCTAACAAGGCAGAGGCTCCAAACAAGGTTGCTGACGACTGTTCTAAATCCCCCTTGTTTTCTTGGCTTTTTCCCCTTGGTCTATGTACCGCCCGGAATCTCAATTTGTAGTTGGTGAGGTAACATACGTGGAGCTCTTAATGGACGCTGAAGGAAAGTCAAGGGTAAGTCTCCGAGAGCAATTTCTTCCTTCCGTGGATTTTTAACTACATGACAAAATGTATGTGATGGTGGTTGTGGAGCCCCCCGCGGTTGGGCGGCGAGGAACGGCGTGGATGTGGTAGCGTGGTTCTCTCGTTGGCAGTGGCCCAGAGCTCCTTTGGGGGGTGGGTGGGGGCGGGCGGGGGCGGCGGGAGGGAGGTGAAAGGGGGGGGTCTGCTAGACCCAGCAGCGCCAATTGCTGCTGCTGCTGCTGCCGCCGCCGTGCTCCTTGGTGTTTGGCTGTCTGACTTAAGCATGGATCCTCACCGGCATCCTCCTGAATGTCCCACCTTTCTAGCCTAAATGCTTTCCGTGTGGTTCTTGTGGCCGACCTCCGTAAGCTCGGGTGTGGAAGCGAGGTTGCATAAATGTCCAGAGCTCTCTGGCCGTCTGTGTCTTAAATGTTCGGAACGAACGGGTCGCTGTTTGTGGGGGCCTGGTCAGCGCAGAGAGGGAGGCTCCTGCCGCACCTTCCCCGAAGGCCGCTGTGTGGAGGCGAGCGGGTAGGGGCCGTTGGCCGGCCTGGAGGCACGTAAGAGCTCGCAGAGTCGAGAGATAGAGATGAAAAACTGGCATCTGTCCTGCCCATCATGGCTTCTGCGTCCCCGTCCCTGTCCCCCCCCCCCTTGGCCACGTAGGCTTAGCTTCTGCCGAACAGCAGTTGTACTGTTGCTCGGAGGGCAGCCTGGACCCTGCAGCCACGACCCCGAAGGAGCACCCCTTTTAAGTCTCTTGACCTCTCGAGAATCCAGCGGAATATCTGAAGGGCCTCCTGCGCTGGACTCCGGACTGACTGCCGTTTTTTTCTGTCCCCTTTCCCCCCTTCTTTGTGTTTTTGCATTTACCTGTCCCGGTTCTCCACTTCGGCATCGTCAGGGCTGCGCGTAAGTAGCAATGACCCTCCCCCTTCCCCGAGCAGGGCTGGCACCGGGCCAGCTAGCCTGGGAGATTCACCCCCTCCTCGCCTTAACGTTTTTACCCGCAGGGTGGTGGAGTTCAAGATGGAAGAGAGCATGAAAAAAGCTGTGGAGGTGCTGAACAAGCACAGCCTCAGTGGGAGACCCCTGAAGGTGAAGGAGGTAAGACCCCCCCCCAGCCTGCCCACACTAGCCGACTCAGCCCAAACGTTCGTTTTTCTTTCTTTCTTTCTTTCTTTCTTTCTTTCTTTCTTTCTTTCTTTCTTTCTTTCTTTCTTTCTTTCTTTCTTTTTTTCTTTCTTTCTTTCTTTCTTTCTTTCTTTCTTTCTTTCTTTCTTCTTTCTTTCTTTCTTTCTTTCTTTCTTTCTTTCTTTCTTTCTTTCGTCTGTCTGACTCTCCTCTCTCTCCTCTCTCTCTCTTTCCTCTCTCTCCCTCTCTCCTCTCTCTTTCCTCTCTCCCTCTCTCTCCTCTCTCTCCCTCTCTCCCTCTCTTTCCTCTCTCTCTCTCTCTCCCCCCCCCTCCCTCCTCTCTCTCTCATAAGAGAGCACCCACCATCTGGCATCAGAACAATAGCCCATAATGCAGACAGTCCTCGGGTTACGACAAGCAACGAACTCCAAAGTTTCCATCGCTCAACCAGACGTTCTTAACTGAGTCTTGCCCTGCTTTACAGCCTTCCTTGCCACCGTCGTTAAGTGAATCTGGCTTCCCCATTGGCTTTGCTTCACGGAAGGTCGCCCAAGGGGATCACCTGCGGGACA